TTGGTATAGCTCATTAACCTACTTGATTGTAATACTTAAGTCTGACGTCCATAAGGCTTCACTGCAAATCTGTTTGTCATCATTTTAAAACCATGATGCGTTAGCCTGCCTATATGTCTGGCCTAATACTGTTCCATTTGAAACATTAGCAGAATTACAGCTTACCCTGATGCATGGGTGATTCTCCCATAAAATCAATTATGCGTATTTATAATTGCATGCAAAAGTTTGGGCATTCCTGGTTTTCGAAGTGAATATCCTCTACATCCTCTGCAGAGAATGCACTTCTGCACATTTTAATGCACAATTACTGTTTGTTTACTGAAGTGAGTTCAGGTGTTTCAGTCATACCCATCACTACCAAGTGGATAAAATTAAGCATATAGCCTTGCAGTCTCGATAGGCAAACACTGGCAGTAGAATGGGTCGTACTGATGAGCTCAGTGACTTTGGAACTGTCATAGGATCCCACCTCTTCCACAAGTCAGTTCAAAATTTCTGTCCTGCTAGATCTGCCCCAGTCAACTGTAAATGCTATTATTGTGAAATGGAAGCGTATAGGAGCAACAACAGCTTAGCCACGGTAGATCATGCAAACTCACAGAGTGGGGCTGCTGAAGCGCACAGTGTCTATCCTCTGTTGAATCACTCACTGAAGAGTTCTGAATTGCCTCTGGAAGCAACATCAGCAAAAGAACTGCACATTAGAAGCTTCACGAAATGGGTTTCCATGGCCGAGCAGCTACACACAAGCCTAAGATCAAAATGCATAATGCTAAGTGTTGGCGGGAAGTGGTTTAATGTACGCTGCCACTGGACTCTGGAGCAATGAAAACATATTCTGTAGAGTGACTAATCACACTTCTCTGTCTGGCAGTCTGATGGACGAGTCTGGGTTTGGTGACCGCCAGGAAAACGTTAACTTCCTGACTGCATTGTGTCAACTGTAAAGTCTGGTGGAGGAGGGATAATGCTATGAGGTTGTTTTTCAGGGGTTGGCCTAGGCCCCTTAGTTCCAGTGAAGGGAAATCTTAATGCTTTAGCAAACCAAGACATTTTGGACAATTCTATGCTTCCAACTTTATGGGAACAGTTTGGGGAAGGCCCTTTTCTGTTCCAGCATGACTGAGCCTCAGTGCTCAAAGCAAGCTCCATAAAGGCATGGCTGGGTGAGTTTAATGTGGAAGAACTTGACTGGCCCACACAGAGCCCTGACCTCAACCCCATGGAACACCTCTGGGATGACCTAGAATGGAGATTGTGAGCCAGGCCTTCTCGTCCAACATCAGTGTCTGACCTCACAAATGCCATTCTGGATGAATGGGCAGAAATTCCTACAGACACACTGTAAAATCTTGTAGTAAGCTTCCCAGAAGAGTGGGAGCTGTTGTGGCTGCAAAGGGGGGACCAACTCCATATTAATGCCTATGGATTTAGAACGGGATGTCATAAAAGCTCCTGTAGGTGTCCCAATGCCTTTGTCCATATAGTCTATTTACCTTTTATGTGCTGATGTGAGATACAGCATATATACATGTATAGATTTCTTAGTGTTCAAGCTGAACAACTAAATACAGAGTTAGCAGTAGCATTCTTTCAGAACCATCTGACAAAAAGCAATATTTTCATTTGTTTTTTTTTCCTACGGATACCGGGAGACTGCAAAGCAAGCAAATCAGTCAGTGAATTTCATGTCCATTTCTGTTATTATTCCATTTCATGTCTCCCAGTGTTCTCTTTTAAAAACTATAGGAGGTCACTTTCACTAATCCAACCACCTACGTCCTCACAAGTGGGAATGACTTGCTTTTGCCTGGGGTTAGAATTGAAAAGCTGTCCAGAATGCTCCACCTAATATTCTTACATAATTGCTACACGAGTGTTTGAATGTACACATTTAAATTGCAAATAGCAATGTGTGTTTATAGTAGGGCTATTTTGCACTGAATTATTTAATTATGAAACAAGCACATGAGGGAAATGATTGCTCTAAATGTCAGTACTATTTCGGTTTAATAATGAATGACAAACATACTCCACTTAACATATGACAATGTAGATGACTCAATTAGCTATTATGAATAACCATGGCTTTTAACATTTGTGTCATCTGTAAAAAGAATATCACTGTGGTGTGGATTGCATTCCTCAGGAGCAGCTTTTGAAATACAAGTCAACCACAGAAGCCTGTTGCGATATGAAGTCTTTATTAGGCTTCAGGCAATGTTTAAAAAAACTTGTGACATCACGCTCATATGTGCTATTATAGTTGCAGAAAGTTAATCCTATATTTGTGCCCTTCTGTCACAGTTTACATTTAGATGTTGGCTCCAGTAGCATGGTTTGGTTGTGCGTAGCTTGCATAGCATTATTAAGGGGGCACCAGTGGGGCGCTTAACCACAATGTTGTGTTCATTAGAGTTATTTTCATTATTATTGAGGGCTTTCTGCTGTGTTTATTAGTGACCTTTCACTACTTTTTCTGGCTGTTGAAGCCTTATATGCCTTGACTATTAATCTGATTCCTTTTGCTGCTTGTCTTATCAAGCAGATGGTTCTAGGCACTCACAAATTCAGAAGGCTGGAGGACAGCTAAAAACGGGAATGACTAATAGTCTTTCTTTGGATGTAATTTTATTTTATTGTACATTGTTCATCAGCAGTGCCAGCTGGAGATTTTTGTCAGAAATCCATTGTTTTGTCCATTTTTCTTTGACATTAGTATCAACAGTAAAGAAAATTTTAAATGAGCATTTTCGTAAGTTTTACACACCAAAAAAGTAAAGGTCCAAGTGTTGAGCCTTGAGGTACTCCACAAGAAAGATGTTTCAAGTCATAAACTGGTTTTCATCCAAAAATATTTTTTTCATGAGTCCTTTGAAGAACAAAAGGTTTCAGTGCATCAGGGCCTGCACTTACTGTTTCAGCTTGGAAACTGTCAGTTAATTCATCTGCAGTGACTAATCATAATGCCGTTTTTAAATAATTAAAAAAATGTGCAGTTTTTAAGGAAAACTGTATTAGCAGAATTTGGACACAATATCTGTCTTGGCTTGTTGACCTACTTGAGATAAATGGACAATTGTGTACATTTGTTTTTTTCATCAAACCATTCAGGCTTTCAAAAGTGTTCCACCACCTTAATTGCTTTTTTTCCAAACACTTCTTTTGTTAATGAAAACATGCACTTCTTCTAGCTTTTTATGTACCATTATTTTCAATGTATTCAATTATTATACCTCAAGCAGAACAATGAAAATAAATGAAACTTCAACTTTATAACTTTCATATCCCAAGGTTGTTTTGTTCATCACCATGCTTTCTCATATTATTACATTTTTTATATAGATTCTGCAAGCTTGTACTCAGACACTGAGAGCAGATATATTGTGTATGTACTGAATAATTTTTTTTTCTATTAATATATTTTGTTTTTGTACTATTTTCCAATCACAGTTCATTAGAATGCAATGCTGCTAGACGGGATAGAGGCTCAAACAATGTGGTGCATATTCATCTGCTCATTATTCCAGCTAGCAGTTTTGTTATTGAGAGTGATCTGCAGCTTCTGGTCCCTGCTTATGCTTCCTAGCGGCACAAGGGTTCACGGTGAATAACAATCAACTTTAGACCTTATATCAGTTCCTAATTCAAATTCAAATAGATATGCAAATCGGGGCATAGTTCATGAAAATCAGATAAACAGCTGATTTACACACAGTGGTAGAATAGGCTATCACCTGTGCATTTTGTTAGTGTGCTGTTAAGTTTAATGAAAGATTTAGTTACTTGCATAACAAATAGGTGGCATAAAGGGAAGTGTTTTAAAATGACTTTGTATAGCCGTAACCAAAACCGCTGCTAATAAAACACTCTTATCTCTCGTTCGGAAGGAAGTTTCCCAAATTAGTGTCTACTGAGGCATTTACTTTTAAAGTGCCATAGCTAGGATTCAGTGAGTTCTCCAGCATGCTACATTAATAATAATCCAATTACTTGCTGTTTTGAGAGCAGCAGAAAAAGCTTTTATTCTTTTGTGTCTATGGAAAGAAATTTCTCCAGCAGTTTGATCATATTGATTTCATTTTCTATTACACTGTTGATCAGTTCAGTATTTTAGACTTTGCATGTAGAGTGTTCAGTATTCAGCCTGTGTCTCACTCTCATCGAGAATGGAAGAGAATGCTTTCCTTGATGGAGCAATTATAGTCGATAATGAATTGTATTAATTCAAACATGGGGATATTTGTTTGTGGTATTGATCGAATTAGTCTGTGACATACAGGAAATATTCTGATAGACATTTTAAATTTAAATCTGCTTAGGAAAGCTTATTGCATATTGATATTGATGTCATTGTTTTTGTTCTTAAGCTCTGTGTTATTGCACTTTACGGTTGGCTGCCATGTGAATCCTGAAAACAAAATGAATTGTGAACAGCTTCAAGAGATGAATTCATGTTGACTACAGCTGACAGTTTATGACTCTCTGATACACAACAAATATCTCCTAGCAGTTCTGTCGTATTAAGTTGCAAAGCACTGGTAACACTATGACAATAAGTCAGAAATAGAATTTATAGAAAGACATTACAGTTGTTTTAATGTGTATCCCATTTTTCTGTTTAACATGCTACTGGTTTCACGGTAAAGTGATAAAAAATCCCTTTACACAACTGTGAAACAACTTTCTTCATATTTCGTCTGCGCTCGGATTTACAGTCAATGCGAAGCAGATAAGAATTAATTAGTAAAAACGTTCTCTATCTCACTTGCTTTCACCAAGTTAAATTGCTGGGGGCCGACCTTGGGTTTTTCCTACATTATTGATGGCACTAATCTAGAACAGCAGCATAATTAAAAGAGCAGAGTGGAATGGAATATTAACAAAGCAAAATGGTGTACTGGTGTCTGACATGTGGGGTGTAATTGAAGAGGTAGCTGATCATTAAAGCTTGCCGTGTTTTGTTTAGCAGGTTTGCTTTGTTTTATTTTAACCAGGTCTCGGCGAATGCAGTGGGAGAGAACCAAACGGCTGGCCCTGCTCTGGCTCCCAGTGTCAGATGGGGACAGACGCCTATTAACCAGTCCACGCCCTGGGACACAGATGAACCCCCAAGCAAACAAATGAGGGAGAAAGATAATACAGGTAAAGAATAGCAGAGTGCTTTGGGTTCAGGGTAGAAGTGCCCTTAACATCTCACACGATTCAGTAATTCATACTGGACATGAACTTCTTATTATTAACTGATAGTTTGCACACAACATTGCTTGCTTTATTAGCCCTTGTTAAAGTACTGGCCATTATTGCAGATACTAATAAAAATGTTTGAGAATATGCAAGAACTACTACTTTTATTTAGTATTCAACTTCTTAAAGTTTCCAGGCACGCTGGTGCTTCCAGACTTGCATTCCTAACTTCTATACCTTAATAATAATTCATCATAATAAGTCAGTTTGCTTTGTTAACTATGTGCACTGTTAAAAATAAAGGTTCCTAAATAGATCTGAGCTTAGATATACAGGCATAGAAAAAACAAATGTGTGTAGGTTTTTCAGACTATATATATATATATATATTTTATAACATTTACTTATGCAGTGAATTACAGTTATATTTGATTTTCATTCTGTATTTACCCATTCTGCATTTCTTACATCCCATTTGTTTTGAAGCGAAGAAATGACAAAATTATGACAAAAATGTAAATATTTCGTTTTTCTTTTCAAAAAACAGGACAGGTTTATATGTGACTTTAGCCTAAAAAGCATTGGAAAAACCCTTTTGTAAGGATGTATGTACAGTAACATAATAATAAAACATCTTATTTTCTTTCTTATCTACTTATGAACACAAGTGTTGCATCAATTGAAAGCATAGAATCTGTTCCAAAGGATTGTTTGTTTCACTGACCTGAAGTGGGAAATAATTAATATTGAATCAAACTGTAATAACTGTGACTCTAATGCTTAAGGCAGGGGTCACCGGTCTTATCCACAAAGGGCCAGTATGGCTGCAGGATTTCTTTCCAATCAAGCATACCTGATACCACTTGTTTCAGTCTTTAAACAACAGATTAGTTTTATAAATTGTGCTTCTATTTGGTTGGAATGAAAACCTTCAACCACACTAGTGACCTCTGACTGAAGGGTTTTATTTCTAAGCTGGTCTCTTATCAGTGAAAAACTGAAAAACGTCCATATCAACCTCCTCTCCTCAGGTCCACTATGGCCTCCTGCAGTAGCCACGGTCAGCCAGGCAAGTCTGCTGACCCACACTTACGGCATGCCCCAACCTCCAGCCTATAGCCAGGGAGTGACTGTCCAGGCACCCATCATCGGGGCGACTCCTGCTCTTCAGACCCCTGTGCCCCCTCCTCATCCGCTCCTGCCCACTCACTACCAGCTCCCTCAGCCCCCCTCACAGCCACTGGCCAGCATGGTGCTCAATGTGCAGAGCCAGCCGCTGGGCGTCAGCAGTCTGCCCCCTATTGCCATGTCCCCCATGCCTGGAGTATGCCAGGTCACCCACCCTGTTCACACAGTACTGGGCAATGGTCACCTGGCCCATCCAATGGTCCAGCCATCCACCACACTAGCCAGCAACAACCTCCCTCTGACTAATGGACAAGCAGCCACACAGCACCCTCCAGCTACTGCTCCCATCACTCAGGAGACTGCCAACGGACTGCAAATGCTCCGGACTGTTGGCATGGGGAAGTATGAATTCACAGACCCATATCATCCAAAAGGTAAAGTACCCCTGAAGTTTTATCTAACGCTAATTTAATTGTAGAAGTTTGACTGAACTATATATATATATATATATATATATATATATATATATATATATATATATATATATTCTTTCTGATGACAGTATTAAAATAATAACGCAGAGAAAGCTCACAATCTGAGCTGGTACAGCTGATCGTCTTGAACACATTTATTACTTTCCTGACTATCACCCCCAATAAATGCTCTCATTCATCTCTTTCTCCAAGTGGATAGGGGTGTTTTTCTTTTTTTCTACTTGTTTTCTTTTCTTTTTTTTTAAACCCAACTAATACAATTATGTTAACTTCATGAAGGCTTGGATTCTCTGATGTTCTGCAGCATGCTCAACAAACAAGAGCCTTCTTGATTAATGAGTTTAACATAGTTTTCACTTTCGCTAGTGGGCGATCAGTAATACCTTCTCCCGTTCAGTGAACGTTTTGATTGATGATGCAATGAAGGAGACCCTTTCGTAACAATCAACAATAGGTATATGTCCTCAGTCTACCATAGCTAATTCACTTTATACTAAAGTACTTTATGCATACTGTTTGTGGTGAAGCTTGTGATGCACAATAAAGAAGGAATGCAAGATTTTTTTTTCTCTCATCTATCATCTTTCAGAAACTTCAAATGTATTCAGTCCTAGCTGCTTTTATACAAATGGAAAGCAGTTGGTCCTGAAATCAGTATGGGAGAATGTGTGGCAGCACTTGTATGTGCTTTTGGCTCACGGTGAAATCTTTTAGATATTCTGCTGAGCTACAGGCAAAAAATCTGTTCTGCTGCCTCTCCTTTAAATTGCATGTCATGTTGCATCACTAGAAATATTAGTCTTCTATAAAAATGAAGGTTGTGAAGACAGCAGGAGCAGCGTCGCTGTCCACTTATCTGCTTGTAATTGAGAATGTAAAGTCCAGTCAATAGATCATCATTAAGTCCGTTCATGAGATCTCCGGGGTGACGAGTCTCTTGAGTATAGGAAAGTGACTGTTTTGGACCAACTGAATTTAAATGATTATTCATAATAAACCCAGCACTTGGACATCAACCATGTATTTGGTTGTATTTTAAAATCAGTGCCTGGAGAATTTGGAGATGATTTGTGTGTTAACAGCGATACAATTCAGATGTTAACTTCATCAACAGTAACGTAAAGTGGTAAACCCATTTGGCAATTTGCTTTAGTCAGCCCTGCTTGCTGTGATTAAATGAAGCAAGCGGATAGCTCATTAATTTGGCCGATTGTCCATACTCCCCCTCAGTGTAGAGTGCGGCCTTCATTAATAACATTCAATCCCTGTTCATAATAGCCCGTGCGTTAGTGCAGGCGAGTCCTACCTCTGACAGTTCCAGTCTGAAGTGAATTATCATAGCCATGTATTTATAGCGGCACTCTCCAAACAGGAGCTGCCTGCTTGGGGCTGGCAGAGGCAGCGGCAGCGGCAGCCATTAGGATTCATCTCTCCGCCCCTGCGCTCTTCAGAGAACAAGAGAGACATCAGTCAGCCCCTGACCCGCTCCTTGCCGCACGAGCAGTGATTAGTGCTCCTGCCAGCCGCGAATCATTCGCATCTCAGGAGATTAGCATCTAAAAAGCTTGATTCATTCACATTTTTTAATAAATGCTGTCCTTTTTTTCTCAGAGAGGCAATCAGCAAGCTTGTGACATATGAGATTAAATTGTTATACTGTGCTCTTAGGTTCTAAAACTGCAGTGCTTCTAGTGGTGCCCATTATGTGGTACACTCAAGGGGTCTTTAGTAAAGACAGTGGTCCTATATAGAACCATGAACACTCAAGGAACGATTTGTATGCTTAAGTGGTTCTATGCATGCTGAAATGGTGCTTCAGACTGATGGAGAACGTGTTGTATATGTAATATGTATATGTAACCCTTTTTGGTGCTGCATAGAACCATTTTCAGAAAGATTCTATATAGAACCATATATAACACATTCTCCATCAGTCTGAAGAACCATTTCACTGTGCGAAGAAGCATTTAAGCATGCATGCAAATAGTTCTTTGAGTGTTCATGGTTTTATATATAGAACCATTGTCTTTACTGAAGAACCCTTGAAGAGTCAGGTTCTTTTAGGAGTGGACATCAAACCTCTACACATCTCATTTACAAAAATCGTTCTTTTAAAGGTTCTTTAGGAAACCAAATGTGGTTCTTCTATGGCATCACTCAAAAAACCTTTTTGACACATTTATTTTTAAAGGTGTGAAATATACAGTCATACTGAAAACTTTGAACCCCCAGATCAATGATGTGTTTTGTTGATTTTCTAGGTGAAAATAGGTGACACATCCTCTACAGAAAACACACTCAAATATTGTGTTTTCCTGCACATTTCAAACCATCATACAAACCCGGTTCCAAAAAAGCTGGGACACTGTGTGAAATGCCAATAAAAACAGAAAGCGGTGATAAGAAGATTCAGTTTGACCTTTATTAAATTAAAAACAGTACAAAAACATGATATTCAATGTTTTACTTTATGAACTGTTTTTTTGTAAATAGAAACCAATTGCGAAATATGATGCCTGCAACATGTTCCAAAAAAGTTTGGACAGGAGCATGTTTGCCAGTTTTATTACATCACCTTTCCTTTCAGCACTTAATAAACACTTAGGGATTGAAGACACTAATTAATTCGGTTTTGAAGACAGATTTTTTTGTCATTCTTTACTTATTTAAGTGTTTAGCTACACAACCTATATATATATCTTATATGAAAGATATATATATATATATATATATATATCTTTCAGTTTTAATCATGCTTTAGCAGGTGTGCAAGTATATTTAACTGTAGAAGGTGGAATATTAAAAACATGCTGATTCTTAATGCAGTGTTGCCTGAGCAATTGAACCTCACAGGCATTCATTTGTGGTTTTTGGCTTTGCTTTTTTCAGAATTCCTTAAATCTTTTGATAATATTATGCATTGTTAAGGGGCAAATTTTTCGCTGTCACTCATTGGGAGACATTGTCTTTAAACAGTTGGACTGTTTGCTGATGCATTTTTTGGCAAAGTGGTGAGCCTCATCGCACATAAAGGACTGAGCTTTTCGTGATTCCCTTTGATAGGATACATTCTCTACAAATGCTTCTGAGCATTTACACATTGCTCTGAAACTGCCCATCATAAGTGTTTTGGAATGTGTTGCGGGCATCAATTTTAGAATAAGCATATATTCACAAAATATGATACAAATATAATTTACAAATAATTTACAATTTGCAAAAACAGTGAAGTTCACTATTTTTGTTTTAATACAGGTCAAAGTGGCTTCACAGATCACTGCTTTCTGTTATTTACATTTCACATACCGACCCAACTTTTTTTGGAATTGAGTTTGTACACATGCCTATCCATTCTTCCTACAACAGTTAAGTTCCACTCACTCACACTGAATTCATGTTTTAGCCTAGACTGGCACAATACAGACAATCAGAGCTGAAGTTATTTACATATGTCAGTGTTAAAGGCAGTAATCTGAACACCCTGTTTAATTGTAAGAGAAAAATAGAAGTTGGAAATGTTAGTGCAAAAATAAATTCTGTATGCTTTTGGTATATACACCCACACAAATGTCATAAGTGGACCTGAGAGAGAAGAAAAATACCAAAAATGTAGGATCTGGGGCTTTTAGAATGGGCCCTTTGATGTGAGGCATACAGTAGATAGAATAAAGCAGATGTGTCACACAGCTTATTCTAATGAGGCACAAGGAAGGCTACTCAAGGCACTGGTTGGCATCCCATTGCAGATGCTATCAGCACTTACTGGAAGCTCACTGGGTTTGATTTAGCTTTTCGCAAGAAAAGAAGGAACAGCTTAATGTCATTTCTTCTGCCTCATTTCAAACCAAAAGTCAGCTTGTAATTCAGTGAACCAATTTGAATTACCTTCCCTTCTTCGTCCTGCCATTTTCTTTTGGGTCAAAGTCAATTCCAAGGAGTCTGTAGCTGCACGAATGACCATGATTTGACATTGAATTTACTTTGAGGTGCAGCATACATTATGTGTGCACTCTTAAGTGACTCCGTGCTCTCATTAATTTAACAGATCAAGTGCCTGCACTCTGGAGAAGCTTTTAAAACCTTAACGACATATTTGTTTTAGAATTCTTGGAGCCCTGTATGAACATGGACAGTCAAGTGGCCTTGCATTTGACCGATTAAAGTTCTGCGTTTGCCAAGAAAATATTTGTATTCGCCAAGAAAGTGCTGCAACTGCATAACTGAGGAAGATTCAAAGGTGCACAAAATGAAAGATGGTGGAAAAAAAGAAATGCAGGGCCAGTAAGCATCAAGTCCATCTTTTTTTCTGAGCTTGTTGTCATTGCCCTTCATATCTGCAGACACTACTTTGTGGTTAATTGGGGTGAGAGGAGAGAAAAGAATAGGCTCATTCAGTGGGCTCTGAGGCTCTTTGTGAGCAGAGTTTGCATGCATTTATTCTGACTTTATCCTCGCATGCGTCCTACCAGTGAGAGTGCTCTTGAGGACGTTTCATCTCATATCTGTACTTCCATTGTTATCAATTCAGAAGGCTTTTGTGCTGGAAGGAGACATTTCACAAGCTTCAGCATTCACTTTAGTTATGCTAAGAGCAGAGACAGCTCGCTTTAGATTGCTTTCTAGTCTGGAGCAACTAGCATTTTTTCATCCAGTACTTTCTTTAAATAAAGGTGCCAGAGGAGTTATTTGGAGTGATGCCATGGGAGAAGCAGTTTTGGTTTCCTGGGGAACCTTTCAATGGTTGTGGGAGTTTAAAGAATCTCCACATAATGTAAACATTCTATACAAATTAAAATTGTTTTTTGAGAACGGTATGTCCAAGCCAAGATCTACAGTCAGAGACCCCCTTGGTTTATTTAATTTCCACTCAAAATGGTCATTATGTACATTTTTTTCAGTGTCCAAAAAAATGCAGGAAATGTATATTTAACAAAAAATTA